GGCCTTCTTTCCAGGTGAAGCTAATTAGACCATCTCTAATTACTGTTACTTAGTTTGCATGTTTCTTCTGGTAAGAACTCCACTAGAATTACCCTAAGGCAGAAAGGATTGTTGCACTGTTCTGCCTATTTTCTCTCTCTGTTTTGTATCTCTCTTTTTCCTTCAGGTCAAACTGACCTGCACCATTTTTCCTGGGCTTACAATTGGAAACCTTTTATACCCTTTCTCCCTCCTATATAATAGATTTCCCCTTCCTGTCCATGCTTGTGGATTTAATCATTGTTGGTGGGAATGTAAATTGATACAGCCACTATGGAGAACAGTATGGATGTTCCTTAAAAAACTACAAATAGAACTACCATATGACTCAGCAATCTCAGTACTTGGCATATACCCTGAGAAAACCATAATTCAAAAAAGGCATGTGCCACTATATTCATTGCAGCAGTATTTACCATAGCCAGGATATGGAAGTGTCCATCAATAGATGAATGGGTAAAGAAGATGTGGCACACATATACAATGGAATATTACTCAGCCATAAAAAGAAACGAAATTGAATTATTTGTAGTGAGGCAGATGGACCTAGAGTCTGTCATACAGAGTGAAGTAAGTCAGAAAGAGAAAAACAAATACAGTACGCTAACACATATGTATGGAATCTAAAAAAAAAAAAAAAAAAAAGGTCATGAAGAACCTAGGGGTAAGACGGGAATAAAGACACAGACCTACTAGAGAATGGACTTGAGGATATGGGGAGGGGGAAGGGTAAGCTGGAACAAAGTGAGAGAGTGGCATGGACATATATACACTACCAAACGTAAAATAGATAGCTAGTGGGAAGCTGCCACATAGCACAGGGAGATCAGCTCGGTGCTTTGGGTCCACCTAGAGGGGTGGGATAGGGAGGGTGGGAGGAAGGGAGATGCAAGAGGGAAGAGATATGGGGATATATGTATATGTATAACTGATTCACTTTGTTATAAAGCAGAAGCTAACACACGATTGTAAAGCAATTATTCTCCAATAAAGATGTTAAAAAAAAAAAAGAAGGTCCAATCAGGTTGGAGAACCACTGATATAAATAGTAGAAGAAACAAACCACAAACAAACAAATCCAATAAACTTTTCTAAATAATTTAGGGAACAAAATGCCATAAACTTAATTATAACCACATGCCTATAACACAAGCACTTTATTTTCCTTCCCAAGATTTTATACAATATATTTAGAATCTATGACCTTCACCACCATCATCCCTAGTGCACCACACACTGCTAAGGACCATATGAGAAGGTTCGAGTGACCTGGCAACTCTTTGTCTCAACCTCTTTGGTCTTTTATTCCAAAATGTCATGGCAGCATCCTTCACTTTGTTTCCATTCTCCATCATCGTTGCCTTTGCCAGTATCCCTCTCCTCACCTAGATGAAGCTCTTGCTTCCATTCCACTGGCCTCTACCTATGATGAGGCCAGATGCTATTCTGGCCTCAGCATCTCATCTTCACCCATGAAATTTTCTCTAACCAGTATCATGAGTTGTTATAATGCTAATTACAACTTACCATAACACAACCCCTTCAAAGCTCTCTGCTTAACAGTATTTGTGGAACTGAGTTACATCTCTTCTTCCTAGCCAGAAAGAGACCAAATTTGTGTTGGTTTTTTTCTGTACATTCTAAAAGGATTTTTATTCACTTCCTAGATCTTGTTACTCTTAACTGCTCTTCATCTAAAGTTAACTCCCATCGTTCCTTCCTCCCTCTTTTACCACTTGCAGCATAATTACTCTAATTCCTTCCTTCTCATCACCAGCTCCTAAGTACATCCCGGTTTGGGGGGAATTCTATTCTCATGAGATGTCACAAACACTACATATGAATGGGGCGGCAAGAAACAACAAACATGCATGTTGTGTGTGTATTGCCTGTGTTCCAGCTTATGCTCTGTTGTCTCATGGACATTTTCACAGCACAGTTCAAAGAATTTCAAGAAGTGACAGTGGAGCATTAAATCAAGCCCTTCTGAACACAAAGCCCTGTGTGACAGCACAGGTCACATGCCCCGATCCTCCTAAAATTATTAACATCCATCAGGCTTCATAAACAGATGGGAAGCCTATTAAAAAAAGAAATATTTCCAGAACCTAGCTTCAAAGATTCTCATACAAGTGGTATAAGGTAGCTTCTAGAATCTGTATTTTTGATAAGCTCCCTGAGTGATTGTGATGGACTTCCTGGTTTGCAAAACACCACCTCAGAGCAATTCCAAGTCCCTAAAATACTGTTCACCTTCCCAGCACCAGCCCTGGTAGTCAGCTGCTTTTCTTTCCCTATCTACTCTGTCGCTCACCACCAGGGTGCTGAGGGGAGGTCCAGATTAGGAGTGGCAGAGGCAACCCTAATAGACCTATGGCTTGCAGATAGAATGCTGTCATCTGCTCCATGGTCTGATTTGCTCCCTGGCTCTCCTTATCCCCGCCTCCATCTCCATGTCTACACCCTGGGATGTGTCTGTGGGCAGAAGCATCTATAAACTAGAGTCAGCCTCCTTTCCCAGACCCTCCTTTCCAGGCTCCAGCCATTCCCCACTCCCCGGCTCTGTAAACCAGACTCTTCAGAACTGCCCCCAATTCCTCCCTCTTTCTCAACCCTTCACTCCAAATGGACACATCCTTTCAAAGTTTCTTTCCAAATCACACACAAATTCCTCCCCTTTTTTCTGTCCCCTCTGCCACTGTCTTCATCTATTTAGACGTTAATCTTTCCTCCCCTGAGTCACTTAAATGACCTTCCAATGAGGTTCACTCTCTGCTTCTAAGTTTTATCTGCACCTCTGCTATGAGAGTCCTCTAAGGCCATATCAAATGTAATTCTCTCATTCAAAATCCTTTCATGGCTCCTGTAAAAAAAAGAGTCTCCAGTAAAGTATTTAAACCATTCATTGTAGTATAAGAGGCCCTTAAGTACATGTCTCTTTCCCGCACATACACTTAACGCCATCCCCACCCAGCTCCCAGAAGCTCCCTAAGGATACCATGTCCTTGCCCTTCCTGGGGTATTGCAAAGTTATTTCCTCAGCTTTGAACATCTGACTTTTGCATCCCCCCTTTTCTCACCCACCTAGCAAATTCTTGTGGGTCGTTTTATGGGTTAGCTCAGAAACCAGTTCAAAATCACCTCCTTGTAACTGCACTAACCTTCTCCCCATACTGTTACAATGACTGTCCCCCACCGCCTGCTGCTTCTCCTCCAGTTCCCATGGCACCTGAGCCAACCCTGTGAGGACTTCGAGGGTAAAGTTGTTCCTGGCATGAAATGGGCTGCCAGGGACTCAGAACAGAGGAATGGCAACAGGTCGGGAAGGAAAGAAGGGTGAGGCTCAGGTAGATCTTCTCTCCCACCACCAGCTCAGTCCACAGGACACCGTCTCCATTCCAACATCCTGAACAAATTGCAAAGATGATTCAGATGCCACTAAAATCTCTCAAAGAGCCCCATTCGCAGCCACAGGAGGACCGTGCTGTCCTCTTCTCTCCCCCACCCCTTTTCCCATCTGCACTCCAACACCCTCCTGAGACAATGTCTCCAGCCTTTAGGGATGCTTTCTCTCCTTTCTAACTGCCTTCCTGAATGTATGCTTTCCCCTGGGAGTTCTCCCTATTTTAAATTCTCAGCCCAGCTAACCTGCCACAGCACTGCAGGTGGGAAGAAATCACCAGAGAGAGAGAGAGAGAGATTTGCTGGAAGTTCCCGACATGCTTAACAACGGCTCTCACATAAGGCACTTCCAAAATAACCCAGCTCAGGGTTCGTTCACAGCAGACCCATGAAAAAGGCAGAGGCAGAGTTCAAGCATCTCTAAGTAATACTTCAGTCTTCTGCTTTCAAGTGCTTTAGGAAACCCACCTCCTTACATTATCTGGAAACCACAGCCCTGCAGACTTTTTCCTCTCCTTTACCTTTATCAGCCTAACAACCAAGAGAAGCTGAGGAAGCAGACAAGGTATCACCCTTAGAAATGCAGAGGGGTGCTGTACACATCCAAATTTGCCCACATCCAAGGACTCACTTCTGCTTTTTGCCCTGTGATTAAACTTCTTACTTCTATGGGGTCCTTATTCTTCCTCCAAGCAGAAGTCCTTGCCTCAATTCCATGACCAGCGAGCTTCAGTTTTAAGGTCCACAAACACACCTTTGAGAAACAGGGTGATGTATTTTCTCTATGCTGTCCATAGACCTCTTGCCCCATCAAGCTCTAGAAGCTCTGCCTTAACCTATGTGTGTACTGCCCACCTGCAAGGACCCACACCACTGACCATCCCAGACATTCTTAAAGCCACCAAACCTACTTCCAGGATCTTCCCTTAGTGCCCGATGCCAGGACTCTCCCAACCACCTACCCTTCCCCATGAGTCCTTATGATCTGCCTCCTGAGTGTTCGGGGTTCTGCAACTCGGTGTGATGCATGAATGGCCCTGGACTAGGGCAGGGAGAGGGCAAAAACAGCCAGCCTTGAACTAGTCATGGGGGTGTGGTTGAGAGCTTTTGCAACAGAACAATTGGAACACATTCTGCAAATATAGAAAGAAATCTTCTTTATACTCGCCTCAAACCACAGAGAGAAATTCAAAGCTGATGCTAGGTTATCTCAATCATTTGAATCTCGTTCAGTACCAAAGCAGTTTTTTACTCCACTGTGAAGTTCTAATTATGCTGAAGTACACACTGAATTTCATTTAGACAAGAAGGACATTTTAATTCCCACTTTTTAGTTATTGAGCATTCCCCCGGGTTGACCAGAACCCTCATGCTCAGACAGAGTTTGTGGGTTTGGATAATAATACGCAGTTCCACACACACCTGAGTGCAGATGGGAAGTTACGTGTGGGTTATAACTCACTGTTCAGGTCTGTGACTCAGAGCCAAAGGGTGAAGCAGCTGCCTAGCCTCCTGGGTTTCCTCTCAGCGGGCCTTCCCTCTGCCTTGTCTCCTTCCAGGGCTGAGTGGTGATGACTTCCTGGCCGTGGGTCTGCGCAGCGGCCGCGTGGTTTACAGTTACAACTTGGGATCTGGCACAGCAAGTGTCAGCAGCGATCCCCTCGATCTGAGCCATGAGATCCACACGGTCCTTCTGGGGAGGTCCTTCCGAGTAGGCTGGCTGAAGGTAAAGGGTCATCCCTCCATCTGTCCCACAATCTTACTGCGTGTTGCTGTATTATCGGATCCGTGCTGAGGGGCAGAGGTGAAAGAGCCGGGCCACCTGCCCCCATGAATTTCACAGACTAGCCCACAAAACAGAAGACTAGGGGGTGTTGCAGTTAAGTGGTGTGGGGATGAATTAGAGGATGACTAACATAAACAAGGTGAGAGAGAGGATTCAGGGAATGCCTCTCAAAAGAGGTGACACTGGCATAAATAGCAGTTCAGAAAAAAGCATGGCGAGCGTGGGCTTAAGGAACACCAGTAGTTCTTGGTGGTTTTCAGGTGAGAGAAGTGAAAGGTGTGGCTGGAGAGAGACAAGGTCTGTATCATCAAAGGACTTATCTAAATAGTTTAGATTTGCATCTGGAGAGCTGTGGAGAGCTACCAAGAAATTTAAGAAGGGGGCTGGGTGCCATGGTCAGTTTCCATTTGCTGATAAATGACTGGTGGTCATTTGAGAACGGATATGAGAGGGAGGTAAGACCAGATGGAGGAGGCCCAACGGGGTGTCAGCTCCTAATCTTTGAAGAACTGTGATGTTGACTGAGATGCAGAACCATGACTGCTAGCTATTTCATAGTAACAGACACCAGCGGAGAAGCAGAGAATTAAGTGGTAAAGTGTTTATGAGTTCTTCAAAATTCAGGTGTGTGTAAGTTTTCATGCCAAGTTAATGGGAAATAACAAAAGAGTATCTTAACAGTTCACCCTGGGGAATCAATTTCTTTTTTAATAAGCTTTGAATTTTTTTCCTTTTGAAGGTAGATGATCAGAAAAATAAATCCATCATCTCCCCAGGAAAACTGGTTGGTCTCAATGTCTTCAGTCAGTTTTATGTAGGTGGCTACAGTGAATACACTCCTGATCTCCTACCGAATGGAGCCAATTTTAAAAATGGCTTTCAAGGTAAGACATGGACAGATTTTACACTATACCTACTTGTCTCAAAATTTGAGAAAAGAAAAAAACTTTTAAAGAGTATATTTCTCGTTCTAAAACCAGCAGTGAGGATTGCTTTCTAATCAGACTTGATCAGTTAGATTTTAATGGAAAACATTCATTCACTGTTTATTAATCACTTAACTACCTATGTACTAGGTGTTAGGGTGTTTCAGTGAACAAAACTAGGATTCCTGCACTCGTGAATTTACATTCCAGTTGGATAAAGGCGGGAACAGACAATAAACACTAAATATAGTAAATAAATAAATTATATAGTAGTATAAGGTAATAAATTATGTGGGGGGGAAAGGACAAGTAGAGCATGATATGGGGGTCAGGATTGTGGGTCATTTTTGCAGTACGCAGGCCTCTCGCTGTTGTGGCCTCTCCCATTGTGGAGCACAGGCTCTGGACGCGCAGGCCCAGGGGCCATGGCTTACGGGCCCAGCCGCTCCGCCGCATATGGGATCCTCCCGGACCGGGGCACGAACCCATCTCCCCTGCATCGGCAGGTGGACTCTCAACAACTGCACCACCAGGGAAGCCCTGTGGGTCATTTTTATATAGGGTGCTTTGTAATATAGAGTAAGTAAGGTAGACCTCATGGAGTCACAGTAAAAATTGAAACTCCATCTAACTTTGGAATGTACTTGATATAAAAGATGATGGACAGATGGCTGCCACCTATCCACACCATGAAGATATGGCCCATGGAGGTCACCAGAGGCCAAGGGGATTAAGAGAAAACACCACATTTGGACAAGCAATCGTATTGCCATAGCCTGTCTCCTGTGTTCAAAAAGGAACATAGACTCAGACCTTCCCTATAAAGCTGCTTCATAGTGGAGTTATCATATAAAGGCATGTTTTGAATTGTTATAATAATACATTTGGTGAAAATAAGCTTTTTGGTGGCTCCTAGTCCCAGAATATTTGGCCAAGGGGCTGCTCATTGTAGTGTCCTAAGCCATTCACCCATGACCAGCCTACTCTCCATCAGGAGCCCAGGTTTAGGGACTGGGATGTGATGCATTTGGGACACTTGAGTTCTCTGCCTGCCTGGCAACCCCATTCTCCCCACCCCCACTGACTTCTGCCTAAACACAGATGCAGGATGCCATGTACTTGAAACATGAAAACAACACAGCTAATCCAACATAATACAAGGTCAGTTTCCAGTAAAACTAGTTCATTCTGCCAAGGCTCTCAAAGAAACTTTTTCTTTGAATATATAATCCATGCTGATTCTCAGAAGAGTGTCTTAAAGAATAGTTTAAAGCATATTAAGGCTCAACAGTTCTTTCACTGCAGGAGATCATCTGAAGGGCAAAACAAATCAATGAGTTTTTAAAACATTACATTCAAAGAAAAGAATGGGTAAATTTATAAATCTGAAAGAAAGCACATTTTCCACTCAATGAAACAGAGACCTTGTTGGGGGCCATCAAAAACTGTTGTCACTTATTCCCACACACACTTCTTCTGTAAATATTCTGGATATAATCAAGCATATAAGTGTGGATTCTGGAACCCAACTGTCTGGATATGTGTCCCCTCTGCCACCTACAAGCTCCATGACCGTGGTGAGTCAACCAACCTCCTTGTGACTCACTGTGCCTCAGCTGTAAAATGGGACAATCACAGCACTTCTCTAGTTCCAAGAGTGAGCTAACGGAGAGAGAGCACAGAGCTTAGAGCTCTCAGTATGTTAACAATGATGATGGTGCCAGTGGTAGGAGACCCAGCTCCAGTCAAACCTTTGCTCCTCTTTCTCTGCCTCACAGACGTGGCTCTGGCTCTAGTCACACTGCCTTCAGATCCAGGCTCTGCCAGGTAGTAGCTGCGTGACTTTTAGCCTGTTATTTATACTCTCTGAGCCTCCATTTTCTCCTCTGTAAAAAAAAAAAAAACCTACCCCATAGGGTGCTTGTAAGTTAATCAATTAAGTAAAATAATTATGTTAAGTGCTTATACCAGAAACCAGTACATGATAAACACAATAAATGTTAGCTATTAGTGGTATTCCATCCTACTGTCAGAGGACTTGAAGCTTTCAAAGTTATAAAAGTCTAACACTTCCTGGTTTCCTGTTGTCTTGGTTTTTTTCCCTTCTATTAGGAACTTTCCTTCACATCTTTTTAACAAGAACAAAGACTGGCTTTCGTCAATACCTGTCATTTTCTCCTGAAGTCTGTTAATGAGCCTACACTCAGCACATACAAAGCTGGCCCTTCTTCTGACAGAAATAACTACATTAACAGGCCTGGAAGCATGCCAAGCTTCTTAGGATGAAAATCTTGGGCGGGTGTTCTTGGAATTTCCACTTAATCCACAGTCTTATGGAAACTCCAGGACCTTAACTTAGCCCTTAATTTTATCATTTGTCTCTTGAATCCTGCCTCAATGTCTGCACCTCCTCCATCATAAACTAGCCTTTATTATGTACTGCAAATTATAGACAAGTAGTACCACCCTATCATCATGACCAGATCACAACTGTACTATAGACCTGATTCCCCAGAGCTGATCTCACTGGCTTTAAAGAGTGATACAAGGTGACTTTAAAATATAGATTTCTGGACCCTGCTTAAGTGAAATCTCTATGATAAGGGTCTAAAAATTTGCATTTCAATGAACCTCCCCAGATTTGGAGGCCACTATATTAATCAATCATAACAAAGCAAATACAAAGTTTTATGGAAGAATTTAATAATTAGGTTAAGATTATCACATTTGTCTCTAGAATAATGATTAAATCACACACAGTAAAAGAGTATCTGACATAGGCTTTCACATTTCTCTAAACACTCCAGATACATAAATCTAATCCAGAAGTTCCCAGTCTAAAATACAAATTCTTTCTGTTGATCAAGCCCTTTTGCTTTTGTTCTGGAAATGTTTTTAATGAGCCATTATTCTCCCTAGAGCCTTTCATGTTCATGAAGAGGTTATTTAACCCTTCTCCAGATTAAAAAATCTACATATGCCAGGCACAGAGGGCCTTACTGTTTTCCTGTCCTAATAAGAGGGATTCTTCCCTCTTCTCTAAAGGCATAGGGTTTTCAGGCTGAGGTTCATGGATGGGATTCAGTGGGTCTCTGAGTCTCCTGAAATCACACAGACAATTGTGTGTGTACCTGTATGCATTTTTCTGGAGAGGAGAACCATAGCTTTCATCAGTGTTCTAAGATCTGTTACTTTCACTGTCAGACCTATTTAATTCTGATGTAGAATTAAAAATTACTTTTGACTAGTACGAACATGGGGAAAACTATTATCTTATCTATCGATTATTCTAGTGTCACAGCAGCTAGTGTTAATTGATACAGGGATTACTAAACATTACTCAACTGAATAGTGTGGACATAAAATAGATTCAGATTCATTAACAATGCTGTAAAGATGTAATTCCAGCCCAAAAATGTCCCATACCATTAGTACATGCAGTTTCTGGCTATTTCAACTTTTCTTGTTCTGTATCTGTCTGTCTCTCTCTCTCTCTCTCTCTTTTTTAATACCATGAGATTTTTCAAACTAGAGCCCATAAGAGAAGAGTAATGAGTTCACTGCAATAATTTACAAATTCTCTTACTGTCAGAAGAAAAGCTATCACTTATTTGGAACTTCACCAGTCTTTCCAATATCATAGCTCCAAAAGTCTTTTTCATACCCACTTTATCACATGCAAGATATAGGCATGGAATACCTGGTGCATGGTACTATACTAAGCAGATTATATTTAATCTGCTGTATAAATAGGAAATAAATTATACAATATATATTCTACAAATGGCTTCCACTGTAATTGCCTTTACTCTGCATCTTATGTTGACTGACATGAAGCATCTCTCTATGAAATAAACACATATAACTATTAGTGTTAGCCAAATGTTTCTCTAAATATAACAATGTTACGTTTTTTAGCCAAAAACATATTTTAGCAGTTCCTTATAACAGAAGTATTTTATTTATTCATATAAAAGAGAAATTGTTTTAAATGAACCTTCAGACATTAATACATATTACAGTCATTTAAACAAAGCTTTTTTCAGAGTATGATTATAAAAACTACAAAAACTTAATATTAGCATCCCACAGTCTTTGCTAAAAGGAAATTTTTTTAATAAAGGAAATAGTGAATTTCTGAGAGTGTGGAAGGGAATACAAGACCTACATATTGCCAGCATTATACCACTAGTTCATGTATATTTTCTTACTCCTCTTAACTCATGGAGTAGTTATATTTGTTCTCATTTTAAAGGTGGAAAAATTGACAGTTAGATTTGGGTCATCTAGCCATTATGTGACAGAGATTGTAATTGAACCCAGAGCCACCTGACTCCATCCTCTACCTACATTTTTGCTCTGAGTGCATTTCACTCTGCAAAAAGCAAATTTTACATTCCATATATAAGTAAGATCATACATTACATGTGTGGAAAAGAACTTTCTAAGGATACGTACAAAGGTAAATCCCTGAGAGAAAAAAAGAGAAATGTGACAACATAAGTATTATAAACTTCTCCACATAAAAATAAAAAAAAAACACCATAAGCAAAATTAAATAGCAAATATTAAACTGGAGTAAGTATTTACAATATGTGACAAACAGCTAATGTGCTCCTTATATAAAAAGGTCTTTCAAATAAGTGTTTAACAGGGTATAGACAAAAGGTAGATAGAGAAAAACATTAAATATTAAGCAACTTAAGGGGAAAATTATAAATGACAAATCATTGAAAGACTTTCAACCCTAATTAAAAATAGCAAAAGGAGGGGACCTTCAAGATGGCATAGGAGTAAGATATGGAGATCACCTTCCTCCCCACAAATACATCAGAAAAAACATCTACATGTGAAACAACTCTTACAGAAGACCTACTGAATGCTGGCAGAAGACCTCAGACTTCCCAAAAGCCAAGAAACTCCCCATGTACCTGGGTATGGCAAAAGAAAAAACAGAG